CTTGGGAGGCATCAGCGCCGCCCTCGTCGCGGATAAGTACCCCGACAAAATAGCCGTGCTTGTCTTTGTCAACGCCTTCATGCCAGACACCAATCACACCCCATCTTACGTTCTTGACAAGGTCTGTAGCTCTCCTTTATGATTTTCTTTTTGGTCTATATAAAAATAAAGAGTTTATTGTAAAAATAGTCTTTAAATATTTAACCCATTCTTTGATTTGAGACCATTCTTGGACTGTTTATTTGTTTGGTTGAAGTTTATGGAGAATCCACCTGATTGGAAAGACTGTAAATTTTCATCTTACAATGGAAGAGAAGATGATACAACCATAACATCAGTGACAATGGGGCCAGACTTCATGAGAACCTTTCTTTACCAACAGTGCCCAGCAGAGGTAAAAACAAAATTGATTTTCTTTTTTTCAAAAATATCACCTTTAAATTTATAAAATTATTAATAGGTAAAAAAAAAAAAAGCAGGATTATGAACTTGCAAAGATGTTGACAAGAAGAGGGTCATTTTTCCAAGAAGTTTTGGGGAAGGCTCCAAAATTGAGGGAAGAAGGATACGGTTCAGTGAAGAGAGTTTATATAATGGGCGAAGAAGACAAAGTATTGCCTAAAGAATTCATGTCATGGGAGATACAAAATTATGGGGTGGACAAGATTTATAAAATTCCCGACGGAGATCACATGTTGATGCTTTCAAAACCTAGACAGCTTCTTGCTTGTCTCCTAGAGATTGCTCATGCGTATGCTTGATCTACGTACGTGTGCGTGTGCGTGTGCGTGTGCGTGTGCATGTGCGTGTGCGTGTGTCAACGTATGTTTCGCTGAATAAAAATGGTGGGAATGCCCATGTTATAGGGCTTTGTAGTTCTTAAAAGGTTTTGGTTTAAATTATAATTAGGGTGTTTTAGGCGAGTTAATTAACATTTAATCTCATTGAAATGCTGGCGTAAAGACTGTCTTGCAGTGGGTATATTTGATTAAGTTAATATCATTTTATAAGCATTTTCCTTACATTTGTGAGAAATGATTAATTTTATCCTAACTCTTTTAGAAATTAACTAAGACAGTAGCTAGTGCGATTAAAAGATTTAAGTAAAGTAATTTATATTCATAACTTTATTATTTAAGCATACCAATCATACAATAAAATTATAGGACAATTTTTTTAATAAGTTCATATATTTAATAATTAGATAATATATATAATTAAAAATTATAATGAATATGAAAGTATGGTTGGATCTAAACTTACAGTATTAATACTTTAATTAACTAATAATTAGTCACACCATTCGATACTTCTGACCCCTCATTATAAAACACATGGGTCAATTAGTCATTCTGAAGCTAAAAGCATCCCAAGGGTTAAGACAAAAATAAACAATTAAACTAAAAAATGAAGGTCTTGAAATACCACGTAAGTGATCTTTTTATAAATTATTTAACATTTATAACATTCATATTAATTAATCTAAAAAATGATTTTATAAATACTATTAATTAAGTTACTAATTTAAATAGATAGTTTTCATATATAAATTAATTTTTGTTTAAAGAATTTATTAAACTAGCTGTTTTGTTGAAATGTAGCAGAAAAGTAACTTTCATAGCAACAATTATGATTTCAACTAAATATTTTATGATAAGTACAATAATAATAATAATAATATTAGGAAAAAATAGAAATTGAAATACTGTATGGTTTATATCTATTATTATTTTTTATTTAGTTCTTCAATTATAATTATTTATTATGTAAATTGTAATACCTTGCTGGGCACCAGCTAGGTACAGAAAAAAAAAAAAGAAAGAAAAAGAGATAGAGAAGAAAAAAAAAGAAAAAAAAAAGAAAAGAGAAAAAAAAGAAGAAGAAAAAAGGAAAAAAAAAAAGAGAAAGAAGAAAAAATGAAAGTGTGGCGACCAAATATGATGTTGGTGCGCTGCATGCGATAACGTGCGCTAATTTGATCATCAGCGCGAGTTATTTTTGATGACACGGGTGTGATGGCGCATGGTGATGTTAACGACCGGGAC